AATAAAACATAGGATACTGCAATTCAGTCAATGTTTCTGCCACATTACTAAAACATATGATACTGAAGTTCAGTCAGTGTTTCTGCCACATTATTAAAACATATGATACTGAAATTCAGTCAATGTTTCTGCCACATTACTAAACATGTGATACAAAAGTTCAGTCAATGTTTCTGCCACATTACTAAAACATAGGATACTGAAGTTCAGTCAATGTTTCTGCCATATTACTAAAACACATGATATTGAAGTTCAGTCAGTGTTTCTGCCATATTACTAAAACACATGACATTGAAGTTCAGTCAGTGTTTCTGCCATATTACTAAAACACATGACATTGAAGTTCTGTCAATGTTTCTGCCACATTACTAAAACACATGACACTGAAGTTCAGTCAATGTTTCTGCCACATTACTAAAACATATGATACTGAAGTTCACTCATTGTTTCTGCCACGTTACTAAAACATACGATATTGAAGTTCAATCAGTGTTTCTGCCACATTACTAAAACATAGGATACTGCAATTCAGTCAATGTTTCTGCCACATTACTAAAACATATGATACTGAAGTTCAGTCAATGTTTCTGCCACATTACTAAAATATATGATACTGAAGTTCAGTCAGTGTTTCTGCCACGTTACTAAACATGTGATACTAAAGTTCAGTCAATGTTTCTGCCATACTACTAAAACACATGATATTGAAGTTCTGTCAATGTTTCTGCCACATTACTAAAACATATGATACTGAAATTCAGTCAATGTTTCTGCCACATTACTAAACATGTGATACTAAAGTTCAGTCAATGTTTCTGCCACATTACTAAAACATATGATACTGAAGTTCAGTCAATGTTTCTGCCACATTACTAAATCATATGTTACTGAAGTTCAGTCAATGTTTCTGCCACATTACTAATATATATGATACTGAAGTTCAGTCAGTGTTTCTGCCATGTTATTAAAACATATGATACTGAAGTTCACTCATTGTTTCTGCCACGTTACTAAAACATATGATACTGAAGTTCAGTCAGTGTTTCTGCCACGTTACTAAAACATACAATACTGAAACATATTATTTTAAAGACTAATTATTATCTATAAATAGGATTACAATTTGTTGTAATAATAAAATGAAAACTTACTCTCTGTCTATAACCAAACATGTTACCCCTTCAGGATCATCAGCAATAATATTGGCTGTACGGAGATCCTCTCTATAATAGATAATAACTATGTATATGTTTTTGATAGATTAAGTTTGTTTTAAATTTGGCACAAAGCTACACGAGGGCTATCTGCACTAGCCATCCCTAATTTAGCAGTGTAAGACTAGAGGAAAGACAGCTACTCATCCCCACCCACCACCAACTCTTGGGCTACTCTTTTACCAACAAATAGTGGGATTGACATTATAATGCCCCCCACATGTGAAAGGTCGAGCATGTTTGGTGGGACGAGGATTCGAACCCTCAGATTGCGAATAGAGCGCCCTAACCACCTGGCCATACCAAGCCTTTTTGATAGAACAGACAATCACTTCAATCTTAGCTAATGTTCTCATATTAAAGCATAATAAACTAAGTGTAGCCAACACCAAGTTCATTTACAACAGTTACAGGAAAGAAAATGAATGACACTACATGTAGTGGTAAGGAGAGACTGTGGGTTATAGCTTGTATAGTAGAAATCTACCAGTTACTAAACTGATCACATAAACACACTTTTTAAAGTTAATTCTCATTGTGATTACATTATAACATGGTGTAAGCTGCAAACTTTAACAAAATATCTCAAGATATACAATGATAAGCTCTCACTTCCTTTAAATTCTGCATATTCTTAACTTTTTAGCTAAGTTATATTCATATATTTATTTTTGCTTATAGAATCAAAATATAAAGAATTCACGCACTTTGTTTGTTAAAATAAAAAAAAACAGTTATTAAACTCCCAATAATTTTGAACTTCCTAATACAACATCTGTTTGAACTTATGTGGTAATCTGTAATAAAAACATAAGCTCTTTAGGCAAATAAGAAGTATTTCAGTGATTTGTTGAATTAGCACATAACAAAAAAAAAAAGAAAAAAAAAACCAAACAAATCTTTACATCATAATCTTTTTTTCTAGTTTTCAGCTAAGCAAGAGAAAGATTTAAATGTATGCTTGTTGTTAATCTCAACAAATTTCATGTGTTTGGTTACTTTAGGCTTTATCAGTGACAGTTCTTTTATTCATCTAATTTTATGACTTGATAAGCTTAAAAAGAATTAAACCGAATGAGTCAGCTGTCTTTTTGGTTATTGAAACTTTCGTCTTACCTTTGGAGTGCTTTTTCACCAAAGAAATCTCCATGCTCTAAAGTTCGGATAAACTTTTCTTCATCTAATTCTGGAACCTTCATAGTTACTTTCACCTGGGAATAAATTTTATTAATATTAATTTTACCTGACATTTTCTTAAATTATCTATACTTACTAATCTAATTTTGTTTCAATTGAAGGCACAATTACAGAACTAAGGTCATAATATATTTGAAGCAACATGGAGAGTGTTGTTACAATTCAAAGAATTGCTAATATTACCCTTCCATAACAAGAAAGAATATATCTTTAGATTAGTAAATTCTAGCAATTTTTTTTCAAAATTTTTCATACAGGTTTTCTGGAGGTATTTAGTGATATCTTTGAAAAGTAGATATAGGAGGGCCATATGCTTGCAGTAATCCTCCAGTTTAGGCAGCAATTACTTAATAAAACTTATGCTTACTTGGTCCTGTTTTTGTTATGTTCTCCTGGGGTGAAGTCATACTCATATCAAGTGGTTGTACAAAGACTTACGCAAGTTAGTGTAAATGGGGATTTACCTCCCTTGAATACGTATAATGGGAATGACTGCTGATGTAGGTAATCTACAAATTGTGGAATACACAACACTAGAACCTTGGTCTGACTCCACAGTTTGGTATCATCATTCATCTGATTCCTGTTTTTGTATCATGCACACATGCTTTTCACCAGGTGGCTGAATGCAATTCTAATAAGCTACATTGCAGGATACTATGAAATGTTTACTTACAAAAGAGGAAAAAGGATTGAAAAATATTAATCTAGTTCCAAAAACCATAATATACATGTAAAGTTCAATAAATTTAAGATCTGCTTGAAAAAATATCATCACTGCTTTAGAATGTTAGTCTCCATGTAGACTTCTCAACCTTCCAGTAAGAGATCTAGAAAAGTTATGTATACACAGGAATTTTTTTGAATCTCTAACAGCTGTTGAATAGAAAAAAAGTTAATATAAATACCTTTCCCTTGCTGATGATAAAAAAAGTGTCTCCTCGAGCACCTTGTCGAATAATGTAGTCACCTTTCTTATAAAATGTCTGTACAAAATATAGTAAAACAACTGTATCAGTGCTAACTTTAATCAGATTGCATTTACAACCACCCTTTAAAATAAGGCAAAATATCAAAATGCTGATAAAAAGGTTAGTTATTAAAATTTTCAAACATTGAGTAGTTACAAAACAATTTTATGTTTTATACAATGGTTTCGAGTGACAAGGATATTATAAGAATAAATTTGTATTTGTTGTGTAAATATCTTTAATATCTGTAAACATTTAATTGAAATAATGATCAAGAAACTAATTCACAATCAGCCTATATAATTAATTATATAGAGGAATTTTTCAACTTGGATGAACAAAACAGTTAAACTACAGGTAACTGTGAAGCGGTATTTAATTACAGAATAATTTTAAATTACTAGATTAGTGTATGGACTTGGGCTGGGACAACTTCATATTATTGGGATAATTGATAATTCACTACAATCTAATCATTAGTTTCAGTTTATCGACATATTTATTTATAGCATTAAGTTTTTGTAGTTCGATGATTATATCAGATCATCTTCATTAATGAGTATATCACTTTCAACTTGTTTTAGTTCCAATATACACATATAGAGTTAACTAACTTTTGATTAGAAGTCTTTGATAAATAATGAGATTTTAAATTTTGAACATTCTGAAAACCCAGATGTACAATATTTATATTTTAAAACTAAATTTGCATATGCCAAGTTTAGAATATCACAATATTTGTTACATGGGGTAAATGTCTTTACTTTATAGCTTTGGGTTAATAGCTTGAGTAGTAAAATGTTTTAAAAAAATGTACTGAAAAGAACTACTGTATTTTTTGGTGTATAAGACGCACTTTTTTTAACCCAAAA